CCACCACAATGAGAAGCCCGCACACCGCAACAAAGAGTAACCAGCCCCCCGCTCACCGTAACTAGAGAAAGCGCGCGTGCAGCAACAAAGACGCAAAGCAGCCAAAAATAAATAAAATTAAATCTTTAGAAAAAAAAAAAGAGTTTGCAATCAACAGCCTCCTCTCCACAGTGGATTGTGTGTACCTCATCTGTTTGTAGATGGACGCTGTTTAGTCTCATTTTGCTCATGATCTGAAATACTTTTCCTTCCTCTAAAAATGACTCTAATTTAAATGCTTTGGATTCAGCTACATCCAATTTTTTTGGTTAGTTTGCATATAACCCTGTCTGTGTTCGGCTCTGATACCTTTCCTGGCCCTGTGCACAGGGCTTGTCTGTGAACCATCATGGGTGCCTGTGTTAAGAAGAAGTGAAACAGAGATGGGGTGGCTCACACATGCAAAGGAGGGGCTCCCCTATCCTGAGCACATGACCCTGTGCCCCCTGCCCCCCAGGCCTGCACTGCTGCACAAACAGAAAGACTTTTAAACGGCTGTGCCACTGCCCTTCGATTCTGGCTCACTGTATCTCTTGACACGTTCGGCATCATGGGATGAAGCAAGTGCACGGGTCAAGACCGATGCCCCTGGAGTTATGCTGGCGGAGTTTCTCAGCAGTGGTTTTGCTCGTGATTTACAGAGCAGAGCCCTGCCACAGGAGCGCTTGACAAATCTTCCGTCCATCTTGTATGACAGCTCATGTAACACAGTTACTCTCCTTTGCCTGTCCTTGGGAAAGGGCGGCAGCATCCAGAGAGCCTTTTGTCAGCATCCCAAACCGCGCTAACAAGCCTTTCTGTGGATGGCCCTGGAACCATCTCTGTGCAAAGGATTATTAGGTTGTTATTCCTATTATTATTGTATGCAGTACATCACAACATTTTCAAAATGTCATTTGATCGTTCACCCTAGCATCACTGTGAGGTAGATACAGCAGCAGGGTACTGTATGGTTATTAGTTATGGTACTGGTTAGGAACATGTGCTCCAGAGCCAGACTACCTGGGTTTGCAGCCTGGCCCTACCACTTTCTAGCTGTGTGACAAGTTTACTAAATCTCCCCAAGCCTCAGCTTCCTCATCTATAAAGTAGGGAATAATAACCTTAGGAGGTTATTGTTAAACAAATGACTGAATGTTTATGAAGTATGTAGAACAGTGACTGACACAGAATAATCATAAAAATGTTCACTTTTATTGTTAATGTTGCCATCAACTTCATCATCTCTACTTTGCAATAGAGTTTCCAAGAGTTTGTGATTTGCCCAAGATCACGTTGGGTGTTATGACTCCAAGAGACAGTGGACTTTCTTCCTCTTAGTCTTTTATTTCCTTATTACACAGTAACATAAAAATGAATTCTTGTAAAAGATCAAAGCAATACAGAAACATGTAAAGGAAATTGTTAGGTTCCCACCCTGCTCCTTCCTCTTTCCCCACAAGGAACCATAGAAAACTAACTGGTGTGCATTCTCCCTATCTTCTCTCCGTGCAGGGCACACACATAAAATCAATATACGTATATATATATGTGTGTCCTCTCCGGCATAAATAATAGTAACAGTGCCTGACTTATAGGGCTGGATGTTGGGGGGCAGAGGGTGAGGGCAAGCAATATACTAGCCCTCTCCTCAGCTCCATGAGTTACGTGCTATTATTCTACCATTTTACAGCTGTGGAAGTGAAGGTTAGGGAGATTGTCACCTTCACGGGACCACATGGTGCTGAAACTGGATTTGAATCCAGTCACACTTACCCCAGTATCTCCAGACTTTTGACCACTACTATATGTGGCCATATCACAGGCATTATTTTTCCACTTGATTTTTTTCTCTTAATAGTGTTTGTTTGAACTCTTCCCATATAAATACATATACGTTTACTTCTTTCTTTTAATGGCTACGTGAGTCGATATTTTATTTCACTACTTTCTTATTTAGGTTGCTTCTGTTTCCTTGTTCTTTGCTGTTATAAGTAATTCAAAACTGAATATCCTTAATACATACACTTTTGGGCACATGTGTGAGAATTTCTGTAGAATGGCTTTTACAAGTGGAATCGTTCATCAGGGAGTAGTATGTACGTATACATTAAATTTCAATAAGTATTGCTTTCCAAAAAGAATTTTGCTCACCAACAGTGTGAGAATGCCTGTTTCCTCACATTAGCCTTCTTCTTATCTTTGCCAATTTGTTGAATAAAAACACCCTTTTTCTAAATTGTGTTTCCCTGATTCCCGGTGGGCTTGAGCTAATTATTTGGGGGGTTATCGACCTTTCCTCTGGAAATTGCCTTTTGCCCATATTGCCATTTATTTTTCATTGTAGATGCTCTTTATAAGTTCTGGATAATAATCTTTTCTCTGAAATGCATGACAGATATTTTATCCCTGTCTGTAACTTTGTTTTATGTCTAGAGATTGTGTGTGCATGTGTGTATGTGCAGGCACACGTCCACAGTCAATATTTATCTTTATTGTTTCTAGGCTTTGCCTTGCTTAGGAAAGCCTTCCCAAGTTTGTTAAAACAGTGTCCTACATATTCTTCGAATATTTCTATGATTTTGTTTCAACTTTTAACTTTGTACCTCTCTAGAATTTGTTTTTGTGTAGGTTGTGAATTAGGACTCTAGATTTAACTTTCTCTAAGTGAAAAACTCATTGTTCTCACCGTTAATTGAATAATCCATTTCTTTCAACTCATTTGAAACACCACCTTTATCATAATTCTCTTGTATGTATGGCTGTGCACCTGGTTCCTCTCTTCTGTCCCACTGATTTATTTTCTATCCCTGCACCAATATTAGAACACTTTAATTATTTTAGCCTTAGAATAACTTTTTATTCGGGAAGGGAAAAACCCCCTTCACTGCCACTCTCTTTTCCAAAGCAGTTTTTATATTTTTGTGCATTTTTTCTTCCATGTGAACTTTTAAAATCAGCTTGTCAAGTTCTATAAAAGAAACTCCTGTGTGTATTTTGACTGAGAATATATTGCATTAATAGGTTCATTTTGGATAATTTGGCATCTTTACTATATTTAGTTTTCCCATCCGCAAGTACCATATGTCTCTATTTCTTTCATGCCCATCAGTTAAGATCCTTATGTAGATCTTTCATCGAAGGGTTTATTTGTTGCTATTACAAATAGGGACCTGTTTTCCCATCACCTGGACTTAATTTGTATTACTAGTGAATAGGAAAACTATTGGTTTTTATATATTAATTTTTTATCTAGCTACTTGACTGAACTCTTTTATTAGTGACCTTTATACTGATTTCTTTTCTTGATCTATCACTTAGGCTAGGACTAAAGAAAAACGCTGGTGAAAGTGTACACCTCTGCCTTGTTCTTATCTTTAGAACGCTTCTAATACTGCACCACTAAATATGGTAGATACACTTTATCAGCTTGAAGAAATTTCTTTCTATTTCTAGCTTACTGAGGGCGTGTGCTTTTCACTGCAGACTACACCAGATTCCCGTCAAGGGGCCTTAATTCTGTCCCCTACATTTTCCTTGAGAATTCAGAGATTGTCCAAATGCCTGGGACCTCCCAGCACTGATATCCCAGCTGACCCAACACAGTTTAGAACTGAGTAATATTTTCTCTTCCTCCTTTCACTCACATTGGACCCTGGATGGCCGAAGAGAAAGGGCTACTTTGTGTGAACATTTCCTATACTCCCCTCACATGCCCGCCTATCCCACCTCCCACCCCCCGCCGAAAAATTAAATAAATAATGCTGTGTGGATAAGAGCAAAATTCCACTTCTGGAATTTTCTGGCAGGCACCACTGAAAACATTTCATTCCTGGCTTCTACTTGTAAATAACTTCCATTTTTTTTTCCACTGGGTTATCTTGAGTAGCTGACCACCATCTCACACTCTAGTAGCTAATTGGTTTCATAGTTTCTACAGGAGTGTGAGAAAGGAATCACTACCTGACCTCTGATTTCCTGTTGAGATTTCACGCAGGCACAGGGTGAAGTCACTTCTAACTCTGGGCTCTCAGCAGTGCCTTGTGCGCAGTTAATGCAAAAGAAATGTTTTTATGGTCGATTGATGAAATGATTTAATTGCAGAGTATATATGATAAGTTTTGGGTGGCGAGACTTTTTGCTAAGATGTGGACGAAAGGATTTTGCTACGTTGGGCATATGCATTTGGAGCATGACTCTAAAGGGACTTGGCACCTGTCTACAGATTTGTCCCTGTGTCCAGTGACACTTTGCTTTGGGGAAGTCAACACCCACTGTGGTGGCATCTGTGATATTTAAGAATGTGAAATGCCCAGGAATAATGCAGAGCCACCTCAGTAAAATGCCTTCTTCAGAAAACAATTAAAATGAGACTTTGGCAAAAGATTGTTATAAGCAGCAGAGAAGAGAGTTGGGGCTCCTTCCAAGATAAAAAGCAGCATATGATGTCTTTTACTATGGTTTTTCTCATCTTGATGTAAGCTGGGTAGATTATATTATTTTCAGACTGTTTAGCTAGGAGAGCAAGAACCTGCTAAATAAGATCCTTTCTTTTTATTGCTCTAGTACAAACCAACACTGGCCTCCAACATCAGTTTGGATGTTAATGTTTTTGAGGTGGGCTTGTTTGGGAGATGGCGTGGACTCATCTCAGGCACATGCTGTATAACTGGCAGCCGTCCAGGAGAGCCCAAGCTGAGAGACAACTGGATGCCAGAAACCCCAAGAGGCAAGGCAGCCTCACATAGCAGGCACAAGTAGCTGGTCTTTGAACCCCTCCCAGATCCAGTGGGATCAGCTCCAGCTTCTAGGGCTGTTGGTATAGGAAGTTTGGTCAGTTGGACAGTTATTTTTCCTGCCTTAGCTTCTTCTCTTTTCCTCCAAATTCCCACATCCAGAAAAGAGGCTGTAATAGACTAAAGTAATAGACTAAAATATAGACTAAATATAGACTAAAATATTTCCTACCTCTCCTCTTGCAGGCAGGTGACAAACATTACCACCCTAGCTGTGCACGATGCAGCAGATGCAACCAGATGTTCACAGAAGGAGAGGAAATGTATCTTCAAGGTAAGGTGGACTCAAGAATCCAGTAAGTTCTCCCCACCTGGGGAAAGAAAACCTTGCTATGTTTGTTTTCAGAGAAGGAGGCATTTTTTTAGCTGCAGGGCTACATGGATCCAGAATGAATGTAGCCAAATGTTACCTCATCAGTTAGTATTAATCAGCCAAGCAATTGACATCCTGGCAGTGAGCCCCTGAGACTGTTAACAGAGGAGTGTGTTGCTTCTGGGTGAATGAATTGGACTTGATGTTTGCTGCTCTGGAGGTTAGAATCAGTGCCCCCCTCCTCCCACCCAGCCCCCAGGGATATGCTTGGGAAACAAAAGATCAAAAGAGGGAAAGCATTTCTAGAAATGTTACACATTGGATGGCTACTTTGTCTTTTCTCACTTCACTGTCCTGGGGGAAGGATTTTGGGGGGCCTCCCAGGCTGCTCTTATCCAGGCTTTCAGGAAGAAGAAAATCCCATATTTGGTGAATTGCATCACAGATGTACTTCATCCCATTAAGATGACATAGCTGTCATAGTGTAAGAGAGAGGGACAGAGAGTGAGAGAACACACCCAAAGTCCCTGACAGAGAAATCGAGAAGTTTCTGGTGTCAAGGAAGGGCTCATTACCAGAGGGCCATTCAATTTTTTTTTTTTAATGAAAATAATTTTGAGAAAATTTCTCAGTGTCCAGCTGTGATTAGCTTTTGTCTCCTCTAAAATTCTGAAGCTTCTCAGAGAGCTTTAGGGGAGGATTCTCCTCCAGTCAAACAGCACCATCTGTGCAAGCATTTTACTAATTTTAGCGGGAAAAAGAGTCATTAAATAGACAAGGGCTTATCAGTAAAATTAGCAAGAACCACGAGAGCTGTTGCTTATTCAGTTTTGCTAATTACTGGGTCTCATCGGCCTTTACATGTCATTTCTTCGTCTCTCTCTGCATGTAACAGTATGTGTAGTTTTTTTTGTTTTTTTGTGTTTTTTTTTTTACAAATGTGTAGTTTTAATGAATGCTTTGCTTTGGTCTCAATTTTTGTTTTTATGCAACTAAGAAAAGTCTTTGGAAACGATTCTTGAGTATTAGAGCAAAGCTTTGGCTACTCTCCCCTTAAAAATGCTAGCTATATGAGAAACTGACAACCCAAACATCCTTTCAGCTTTAGAAGGATCTCTCTGAAAAATTTTGATTAAAGATCTCACTGGGGCTTCCCTGGTGGCACAGTGGTTGAGAGTCCGGCTGCCGATGCAGGGGACACGGGTTCGTGCCCCGGTCTGGGAAGATCCCACATGCCGCAGAGCAGCTGGGCCCGTGAGCCATGGCCGCTGAGCCTGTGCATCCAGAGCCTGTGTTCCGCAGTGGGAGAGGCCACAACAGTGAGAGGCCCACGTACCGCAAAAAAAAAAAAAAAAGATCTCACTGAATTTTAAAGGGCCCAATAAGGGCAAGTGAGAAGCACCAAATCCGTGGTCTCACGTGTGCTTTATATGACGCATTTCCCCTGAGGACAGGCTGTGAATCCATGAGAGCAGTAGGCAGATGTCAGTTTACATTTTCAGCATAGAGCAGATTTATTCTTCAGTTGGTCTCCAGGCTCTGTTTTAGATCTGAGTGTGTCAATTACAGCACCCACAATCAAAGTCCCAAGAGTACATGTCACCCCTGTGTCTGCTGAGAACCGAGACTCAGGGTTCTGTCTGGGTGCAGCTCTGCACGTTCACATGGTCCTGGAGGCTGAATAGAGAGGGTGATTTCAGGCTGTGCACGAGTGCAGTACATTCATACTACAAATAAACAACTCAGTTTGGGCTACATTCAGAATTTGGGGGTTGTTGTGAATCTCTCCTGGAGCTGGGCTTCTGTGTTCTTTGCCTGCCCTCTTGGCACGTCCTTGAAGAATGAGCAGTTTCATCCTCCCCAGCATCAGATGTTCTCTCTGGCTCCCATTCCCTACGTGTCTGACCTCTGGAGAACCATGTGACACCATGTGCACACCCGGGATTCAGGGCCGGGACGCCCGCTCAGTAGAACCTCCACAGCGCACGCCGCTCCTGGACCCGGCCCTGACCCCCGGCCCTTGGCTCTCCATGTTAAGACGATTTCCTGTGCTTTGTAGCCAGCCTCAGAGTAAACGCTAGTGCTGAATGGACTGTGTGTCTGCCTGGTTTGGGTTTGTTTAATTTTTTTTTTTTTTTTGGCCCTGGGTTAAGCAAGATAGAAATTACTGCTAAATAGGGATTAAAGTATAATTCTGATATAAAATTAATTTAATAGTATTAATTTAATAGTATTTTAGTCATTAATTTAATAGTATTAATTAATTTAATAGTATTTTAGTTCAGTGGTGTGAAATAATTCGAGAGTTATTCTAATTTGATACTTTTCAAGTACACACACAGGTTGCTGCTTGAAGGGAGAAAGATTTCAACAATGAAATGTAGAAAGTCTAATATTCATGCTGAGATTCTTATTAAGTTTATATCATTTACTTACTGCTTTCCACTTAGTAACTTTTTCAAATTTTTTTAACTTTTTATTTTATGTTGGAGTGTAGTTGATTAACAATGTGTTAGTTTCAGGTATAGAACAAAGTGATTCAGTTATACATATATATGTATCTATTCTTTTTCAAATTCTTTTCCCAATTAGGTTGTTACAGAGTATTGCACAGAGTTCCCTGTGCAATACAGTAGGTCCTTGTTGGCTGTCCATTTTAAATCTAGCAGTGTTGGACACGTCAACCCTAAACTCCCAAACAATCCCTCCCCCACCTCCCTTCCCCCTCGTGACCATAAGTTCGTTCTCTAAGTCTATGAGTCTTCAACTTAGTAACTTTATTTGCTTAGGTCTTTTTAAGTCCCTCTTCAAGTTCTTCTGCCCATTCCCACATTTGAACATACCCTTATGTGAACATATAAGACTTACATATAGGCCTTAGCCATAAATTACATAGATTGTCTATCTAGGCGTAAAATAATCATATAGGCAGACATTTGATTCTTATAAGAAAAGAGCTTTTGATTGGATATAAGTGTTTTGCTTAGTTCTTTGGTACTGGTACCATCTAAGAAAGTGCTTTACACTCCTGTAAAGTGAGGCATTAACCCAGGAACAGAAGATGACACTGAATTAGTGCCTTCATTAGTTTAAAAGTGAAGACTTTTTGCAGTTAATTAAAAGGTTAAAAGTTAAAGGAAACCTTGTGCATTTGTAATGTAACTTTCAATCTTTCTGCTAGTTAGATTGGTCTCCTGTGTCTGTTGGATCAACAAAAAATTCAGTGAGTTTTGCTTCTGGTTATAGGCGATCTGGTTTGACTTTATTGCCCTCATCTAAGTTGCTTGGTTGTTTTGATGTTATATAAGCATGGCTTATGGCTTATATTTCTGAAATTAAATGCAGCTGTTGCTAAGCACACAGACATTACTTTTAAAGGATAATGTTACAGTTTAAAAACAAAAACAAAAACCACCACCCAGTCAAGAACAGTCTCTTTCATCAAGACACTCTTGTGCCCAATTAGTGGTCTCTGTGGTCTAGGATTATGACTGTTATAGAACAAGTTCAGACCAGATGTGGAAAACTCCCCTGGAGTTTGAACTGTCATGATTCACTTGGGCACAGGGCCACTCTCAGAAATTCTGTCTAACGGGACTCTGGCTGCTTTCCATTTCCTTTATTCTTAGCCGTGCATTGTCTTTCCAGGTTCTACCGTTTGGCATCCCGACTGTAAGCAATCCACCAAGACCGAGGAAAAACTGCGGGTAAGGAAGGCACTAGTGCCATGATGCCAGGTGTACGTGCTGGGCACTGTGTTTATAGTCACTAATTTTGGGGACTGGAGTTTGGGTGAAAGTACTTTGTTATAACTTTTTTTTTTTTTTCTCTATAGCAGACTAAGTGGAAAGGCCATTTGGCCAAAAAAGCAGGTTCCCTCCTACCTTAAATCAATGGTGGATTTTGTTCCAAATGCTTGTGTTGGACAAAATAAGCCTTGCCTCATAAGTCAGGTTCTTAGGAAAGCATTCAAGGGAAAAGTCAGACCTGACAGATGTGAACAAATGTTTCATCAAGTTCTAGGTCCAACATCTGGTGACCTCATCACTGGGCTTTTTTTGTACTTTGTCCATAATATCACTCCAGCCCAAACTCTGAGGCCATTGCTCAGCTCTTTCTACGTTTGATTGGCCTCTCAAATCCAAATTCACCGAGTGGCCTCCATCTCCAGAAGCTGATGACTTGTCAGATAAAACCTTTGGGGAAAATCATGATGAGCCCAGACGTGTCAATGTAAACAGGTATTCTTGATTGTTTTTGTAACTTAAACCTTAGGTAGCATCAAAATGTTTTTGTAACTCCCTAGAACATGGACCGCTCGGGCAAGAGGATAGATTCTCTTTATCTCTCACTTCTTTTATCTTTCTTTCCTTTTTTTTTTTTTAATCTCTCACTTCTAAAGCCTTCCCCTGGTCTTACTCAATTCTCAGATCACCTCCAGGTGACGATATTTCATCTGTTTAAAAAGCAAAGAGCTGTACACAGTTGCAAGGCCATGATCATAATCTGTATCTTACTCAGATGCCCCCAGTTTTTCACTTGGGCTGTGAAGTATTTTTCAGAGCAATAATCAGACTGGACCCCAGTCTACACTCCCTCAGTTTAGCTACCTTACTGGTACCCTTGGAAAAACTGGAGTTTGACTAGGTCACCTGGTGCCTCAGGGAAAAGAATGGTCTGAATTTGTTTTGAAAGCCAGACTCTAGAAGACTCTAGAATGTGGTATCATTTCTTCTTGATCTGCCATTAGCAGACGTAAGGAACAACGTACGTAATCCCCAGCAGCTGCATAGCTGCTGCATCCATGTGGCCCCATCACTAATGTGTCACTTGTGAAGGGGTGACTTGGCTTCAGAGAAATGATTTTCAGTGAGACCCATTTTTTTGGGGCCTGCCACCCTGGGAATGACAGCTCTTGTCTTCATTTTCCAGTATCTTTCCTTTATTCTCAGCAAAGCCCAGGTCTGCCCAGCAGCTTTATTTCCTTTGCTTTTTTTTCTGCTTCAGCTGGCATCTGTAAGATCAGATGGAGATATTTTTCCATTTGCGTAACTTGTCCCTCGCCTGTGACCCTGAATAAAAGCAGTTGTCTTAGAATTCAGTTAATGTAATCAGACTTTAAGTGTAGGGGGAAAAAATCACTTTTTCTCAAAATAATTGAATAAAGACCAGACAAACTGGAGAGGAATTTGCCCACCAATATCAGGATGATTTGGTCCCTGTTTCAACATAGAGTTTCTGCTTGAGCATGTGTACCTAAACCTCCCATCTATCAATCAGTCAGGTGCACACTGGATTTTTCTGGGATTTTTGAGGACCCATGGACGCTTTGAAAGCAGGTTGTCATTATAAAATACTAGAACATTGAAGAAGAGGTTAAAGAACATTAAAGACAGTAAGAGGCGACTTACTGTCACTTTTATCATAAGAATTTAAAATTCACAGCATAGCTTGTGGATGCTGCCCCAAAACCTCCCAAGTAGCTAGTGGTCGACACCGTCTTTACAGTGTTGCTTCAGTTTCTTGAATAATCATTTTCACTTCATCCCTGATGAAGTGTTTTGGGAGATGGAGAGAGGAATACTAACGTGGCCAGACTGAATGGAATGTGTCTTTCCTCTATAAGGATTGCTTGAATTTGCAGATTGTGTTACTAAAATGATTTTTTTTTTTTAAATCAACACTTTTTTTTGTGTGTGGTACGCGGGCCTCTCACTGTTGTGGCCTCTCCTGTTGCGGAGCACAGGCTCTGGACGTGCAGGCTCAGCGGCCATGGCTCACGGGCCCAGCCGCTCTGTGGCATGTGGGATCTTCCCGGACCGGGGCACGAACCCGCGTCCCCTGCATCGGCAGGCGGACTCTCAACCCCTGCGCCACCAGGGAAGCCCTAAAAATCAACACTCTTGATCGCATCTTGATGGAACTCTATGGATAAGATTATGAAAACAGCTAGTGAGATACTTCCACTCATTCTGGCCAAGAGGACCTGTTGATTTTTTTTCCTTTAGTGAAACTTTCTAGAGAATTCCAAAGCTCTTCTCCTAAAGCCAACATTTACCACTTGGGAGGTCAGCCCAGCCCTCAGCTCACTCACCCAGAAAGAAGGAGGATGATGCACCTCCGAGGAAAGAGGTTCTGATGTGGCCCAAGTGGGGTACTGGATGACGCTGGTGGGATTTAAAAGAGGCTAGATTTTTGAAGAAGGAATAAATCTTGTGCTCTCTTAAGGGTGTGTCTCCAGATGACAGTCTTGAGCCAGGATTTCCAGGCCTTTTACTGGGTGTCACATCAGTGCAGTTACTATAGCAGAATGAAAATGTTTTTAAGAATCTCTCGGCAGCCCCACTGAGTGACCCACGTTCTTGGTACTTAAAGAATTTGTGGGGCTTTTGTAATAACAGATTCTTAAGAACATCTCTCAGTGGCTTCATTGGCTTCTCACTCTTCATATATCAGAATATTTAAGCCAGAATAAATGGAAAGGAACGATGGTGGGTTGGAACATAGGTAAACATACTGTAACTTGAAGACCAGTTAGGGAATTCCCTGGAGATCCAGTCGTTAGGACTCCGCGCTTTCACTGCCAAGCGTGTAGGTTCAATCCCTAGTCGGGGAACTGGATCCTGCAAGCGGCACGGCGCAGCCAAAAAAAAAAGAAAGAAAAAAAGACCAGTTACTATGCTTTCAAACATGGACCCCAAACACACACACACAACTAAAGTTATGTCACCTGTCACTTATCAGATTAGTTTTCCTGAAGGTTTTTTTCTGGTTTTGATAGTGTTTCTGAATCGAGGCTGTTTCATTGTTCATTCTTCCCTTTTTCATGTTTCATGGCAGCCACGAAACATCCGTCGTTCTCCATCTGATTTCTTTTATCCCAAAAGTCTGATTCGACGCACAGGATGGTCCCCGTCTCTGCAGGTTGGCGCTGTGTCTGGGCTGAGGCTGGGAGCCACTGTCCTGGGCCCCAGGCTTCTGTCGCTTTTCCTCCCCTTGCTGCTTTTCCCACATAACTTCCGGGCTCCTGCAGAGGCAGATGCTTTTCTCACCCCACGGAGTGCATCTCACATTCTGATTCGGGCTGTTTTCTTCTCTGGACAATGTTTTCATTTAGAGCAGTGACTAAAGCATTGTCTTCAGTACAGCGAGCATATTGGAAGCTACCCTTTTGGTCCTATGCTCACACATTTGTTTGTTGATCAAATATTTGCTAAGTACCCAGGTATAATAAGGAAGAAAAGACAGGTAAATAGTTATAGAATGATAGAGAAATGTATCACAGGATCATAAAGATCAAGGAAGTTCAGATGAGGGAAGGGGGTCAAGGGGCAGTTCCTAGGAGAAGTGGTCTTTGAGTTGAGTTATGGAGGCTGAATGGGATTTGAACATGTAGAGATGATGAGAAAGGGGTGGGCCTGGTGAAGAGAACGGCAGGAGTGGGGAGCTGGGGAAATGCAGTGCTTCGGGAGGGAGAGGTTTGGCTCCAGGAAGGAGTAGCGAAGTGGGAAAGGAAACAAATAAAACCAGGCACCAGCTCTGCAAGAGGCTGGGGGATTGACATACACTTTCATTGGCTCTCCCTAAGAATCCCCATGAAGTAGCTATCCTGATTCCCATCTTACAGATGGAGAGACGGAGGCCCATCATAGTTAACGAACTTGCCCAGAGTTATCCCAGCGGTAAGTGGAAGAGCTGGGATTGGAACCCAGGTCTCTCTGAGCCTATAACTCATGTTCTTTCCACTGTCCTACAAAAGGAGAGTAAGAGAGAAACCTGGGAAGGCAAAAAGAGGACAACATGAAATACTGGCGAAGTTTGATAGTGTAGAAGGAGGAGATGGTGTTTCAAGGCCGCACCACCTGCCCAGAGCATCCTACAGGAACAGGGAAGGTACTCAGCTTGCTCTCCAGATGAGCAGCAAAGCAGGGGAGTATGTTCCCTGCACACACTTGACCTTCTTTCGGGGTCTCTTAGAATCAGTTGAAACCTTGGCCTGGTAAATTACGAGTGACTTTCCACAATCCTATCTTTGTCCAGAGGAGACCCATTTGACAACTCAGGGTTGCAACACAGCTCTTTAGTCCAGGCTTTGTGCCTGCGCCTGTTTTCTGTGCCTGCCAGAACTGTACCACAGCCCAGGAGAGTTTGGGTTTGGATCTACTTTTATTAAAACTTCACCTTCTTTCTTTAAATGATTTGAAAAGTAGTTAGAAGTACAGAGTTTCAGAGTAGAAAGGAACGTTTTAGATATCAACCTGCTAAGTTTCTTCATCTATAGAATGAAGTCAGCCCAAGGCTACGCAGGTCATAAACAGCAAAGGCTCCAGGCCTCGAGTGCATGGTGTTGGCCCGTGATGCTGGGTTACATCCAACATGTATATGTCATATGATCTTCATCTATCTTAAAGCTTTAGCTCCAGTGGCAGGGTTTCACGTACAGCAAACTTATAGTGTCATGAATCCAGAGGAAGAACCAAAGATGGTCCCCACTGAAGTGAGGGCTCAGAATTAGTACCTACTTGGCAAGAAGTTGCTTTTTCAACAGCTTTTGGGGTTTTCCCTGAAAGTATACTTTATAACTCAAATAGTGTTTTATGTTGGTAGCCTAAGGCTATCGCCAAGTGATTCATTTTCATAACTTGAAGAAAAATACCATCAGCTGTGATCATTTTTGGTCTTCTCCAGACCGTTAAGTCTAAGAGAC